GTATTCATGCACTTGCCACATATCGTCAAGCAAGTTACCAATGCGTATGGTATTAGATTGTTTCCCAAGCGGGTATTTATAGGTTTTCATGGACTATCAAGTATCAAGTCTTTAACCCCTAAACAGTGGGTAGGCAGACACATCGCCTTGCGACAACGCTGTTTATGTCTGCCAACTTGATACCATAATTATACCACAATTTGGACAGAATGTCAAATATATTTTGGCGTTTTGGTCCTTTCCAATAGGGCGAAATTTCATCCCAAACCTGAAGGATTGGGCTTCATTTCGATAATTCCTGTAAAGGCAGATGGTCAACATCGGGTGCATATTATTCTGTTACGCTTGCTACGCTTGAAAGGCAACCGCTCCTGACAATTCCCGGAACGCCACATATCATTTTTGAATGCTTCGATTGGTTGGAAACCGACAAACGCCTTGAATGGATATGCATCATGGTTATGCACCAGATCATGTCCACACTGTCTTCCAACTTCAAAACAAACAGACGTTACCGACGCTGTTATCCAATCCTTCAAGAAATTTACAGCTAAACACATTATAGTAAAGTCTACAATTACTTAGACACACTGTGAGGGCGACGTGGTTCAAACACCTCGCCAGCGGGGATGGGGCGGACCGCTGCACCACTCTACCAAAATGTCAACTCTTTCGGACTTACATATACGCAAATCTGCGAAAAGGGATGCCGTGTGGCCGGGCGAGGACACTATGAACCGGTATCCGCACGTACTTGACGCATCCTTAAATAAAATTATACGGTATTGCTACGAAAATCCTGTGAGAAAAGGACTCGTTGCGCAACCCAAAGATTACCCGTATTGGCGATGCAAATTTGAAATGGAATGAACACCTTGTAGGAGGTCGCGATCGGGAGATATACAGCAATATGTCGCGATCGGGAGATCGCTCCTACAGTTGGAGTGTATCTATTTTTGAGATTTTGCGTTATAAGGAATAAATTGACTTTTTGTGGGAATTGTTGTATCCTATTAAAATACCTTGTTGGGGGGCACTGCTAGGTCCTGTGTGAACACTATCTCCCAGACACAACACAGGAACTGCCCCCTTCCCACCCTAGCAGGCGGTTAAAAACAAGGTCAAGGTAAACACATTTTTTTAACATAAATGCAGCGAGGCATGGGCGGTCCCTATGGCAACATCGCTGTACGAATAAAGAGGTATATTTTTTCATGAACAATTTAACCACGCGAAAAATTGTCCTCGGCATGCTAATGGCACTCGTGCTGGCGTTGGGCGTGCAGGGCATTGCTGAATCAGTGACACTCACGACAACATCTGATAAAGTTCAGGCGAGGCGACCAGGAGAGTCATTTGAAGTAACATTTTCTGCCACCCTAAGTTCTCCAACGCTGAAGAAAAGCACTTATCGGAAGCGAACCTCGACTGACCCGAATTATGATGCCGGTGATGTGACGTACTACGATACGGCGTATTCGTTCCCATCCGCATGGAATTTGGATAACACAGGTACTAGTCTTGGTACTGGGATCAGGTGGCAGCGGATTAATGGGGTATATTATTACTATACCGTAGTACGGGAGGGAGAAGGGACTACAGGTAATCCATACACCTACTCCTACTCCGCGCCGGATGTCGAGGGTATATCAACAAGCAGCCTTCCTGTTGCTGAGTCTCCAATGAATAGGTTAGTTTCCGGTACTAAAATAAGCGTTGTGCACCACTCAGAGAATGCAATAAGTGAATCCGCAGCAAACTATTTCAATGATCAGGCGATCGCTATTAGGATTCAGCGTGACACTGCTGATTATACGGACGGAACTTTTACACGTTCTGGCGGTTTCGATGTTCGGCGTGCTAGGTCAATCGCTCGATTGGACTCGGAGGGTGTGCCCAACTTAGCTACAGCCAATCAGGTTTCGCTATTTCAAAGGACTTCAGCTCCAGGTCTACGCCTTACAACGGGGACAAATAATATAACTTTGACTTTTACCCCTGGCGAAAATGGTGTAGGAACCTATACTCTTACAATCGTTGATGTGACCCCAACAGCGAATACACTACTTAAAAGTGATTTTAACGTAGCTCTGACACAGGTTACCCAACCAAAACTTGAGTTTACACTTCTTGTAACGGCAGAGACAGCGATTGAAAATCGCGTTCCCGATCCAAGTCCTACAACAACTCAAACTGCTGAGAAAACCGAGTCTGTAAGTGGCCTCTTCACTTTCCCTGATGGTGATAACAGAGTTCATTATCAGGTCACTAAGGGCAATGGAACCCTGTATGTAGGAACGAGTCAAGAAGAGTACACGACTCCTACTCAAGATTTGCTGACACATCAGGACAGTAGTGTGTGGATTAACATCAATAACACGACTAACGAAGTTACTGTGTCTTATGCTGGTCAGGTTCCTGCAACACAGGGAAAGAAGGCAGTATTTGAATACACTGGGACAGGGGCTGTCATAACACCATCGACACCATCGACACCATCGACACCATCGACACCATCGACACCATCCGTGACGGCCTCTGTTCCATCGAGTGTCACGGGGATTGCGGGTGGCACGAGAGTGCTTACGTTTACCACAAATGCCGCATCGGTTTTTGTAGGCAGTCCGACGGCGGATACCTTCCCGATAGCGAATATTTCGACACCGACACAGTCAGGCACCACTCACACAAGAACGCTCACGCTACCAAGCCCAGGGACCTATACCCTCGGTGTCTATATCAATAATACCCGGCATCAAGTTACCGTCACCGTAACAGCGGCGGCGCAAACGGGAGGCAATCTTACGGTTCGGGTAGAGCCGTTCACTGGCGCGCCCGGCACAACAGCCACCGTTACCGTTACCGCAAGCACTATCGCAGCCGATTCGAGTGCCCAGCCAGCGAGTGTAACGGTTAACCTGACGGCTACAGGGGGGACGCTCTCCAGACCAAGTGTCGTGACCGGTTTCGATGGCACCCCACAGTCACTCTCACACGCGGCAGCACGGTAAGCCCTGAAAACTACGTCACTGTCAGTGCTACCAACTATACTACAGTGAGAAGCAGGTTTATCATCGCGGGTCCCGCCCCCAGGGATACAACGGTGGGAGAGGCAGCAGAGTTAAACGTCTACGATGGCAACAACCAGGACGGTTCGCTGAACTCGCGGCTCGCAGAACCGTTCATCGTTGAAGTGGTGGATGCCAATGACAATCCCGTTGAAGATGCCAGAGTCCGGTTCAGTACAACGATCGGCAGCGGGCGGTTCTCGCCACGCACGCCACGCACGGATGAGGACGGCTTCGCCGAAACGAGCTTCATACCGACTTCCTCTGGACGCATCAGAATCTCGGCATCCGTCAATGGTGTCACTGCGAGAGCAGTATTCATCGTTCAGGCTGGAGAGCCAGCAGATGCGCTGGAAAAAGTCTCAGGCGACAACCAGAGCGGGACCCCAGGCAACGCGCTTGCGAACCCGTTCGTCGTTGAAGTCCAAGACGAAGACGGTGAACCGCTTACAGGTCACAGTGTAACGTTCTCGGTAACGGCTGGCGGTGGTAGTCTCTCCGAGACGAGTGCCAGAACGAACGCCAACGGACGCGCACAGACGACGCTCACGCTCGGCAGTGCACTCGGTGTCAACAGCGTTCGGGCAAGTGTCACCGGTGTGGATCCCGTAACCTTCAGCACCAGCATAGACGCGAAAAATACTTGTCGCGGCGGCGAACCGTCCGGTGATGTACTGGATAGCAGGCGGTGGACTTTATAGTCTCTCGGGTGCGAAAGAAGCAAAGATCGCTGAGAGTGCTAACGGCGTGCCGTCGGTGGTGGGAAAATCTACTGGACATCCCAAGTCAATGCAAGTTCAGGCGCGATCAACAGTGCGAACCTCGACGGCACAAATGCGGCAGTGCTTACCTCAATCCTGGCTGTTCCGATGGGGATCTCCGTTGACACTGCGGGAAGTAAACTCTACTGGACGAACACCCGTGGCAGAATCCAGAGTGCGAACCTCAACGGGTCAGGTATCCAGAAACGTGCTGTTAGACCTCTCCGATCCAACGATATCGTTGTCTCCAACGGCTTTATCTACTGGACAGAGGGCGGCAATAGCGTCCGACGTGTGAACATCAGCGGTCAGAAGATCACTCGGGATGTCGCCGTCAACTTGGATAGCGTTGGCGGGCTCGCCGTCGGTAGCGGTAAAGTCTACTGGACGGAGATGACGAGTGCGTCGGCAGGTACCGTTAACGGTGCGGACCTCGATGGCACGAACTTCGAAACGCTTGCCACACTCCTGAGCGCGCCGATGGGGATCTCCGTTGACACTGCGGGAAGTAAACTCTACTGGACGAACGCCCGTGGCAGAGTCCAAAGTGCGAACCTCAACGGTAGCATGATTAAGAACGTCGTTGAAGGCTTAATCTCACCGAGTAAGATCGCGATCGGTGGCGCGAATACGGCTGAAGTGATGACGAGGCAACCAACGGCGAAGAAAGACAACGCCAAGTACGATGTCAACGGTGACGGTACCGTCGATAACACGGACGCAAGTTTAGTCTCAGCCGGATTCGATACCGGCAACGCGAAGTTAGATGTTAACGGGGACGGCATGGTCAACTTCCTTGACCTCCTGCTCGTCTTTGATAACCGGGATGACACTGCGGCCGCCGCGCCGACAATCGTTGGCATGAAGCTGAATGCCGTTCAGATAGATCGCATCGAAGAACAGATCGATCTGTTGATTGCGACGAACGACCGGTCACCCGCCGCGATGCGGACGCTGGTCTATATGCAGCAGCTTCTCGCGACGGCACGTCCGGAGAAAACGCAGTTGTTTGCGAACTATCCGAACCCGTTCAACCCCGAAACGTGGATTCCGTACGAGTTGGCGACGGATACGCATGTCAAGATCACGATATATAACACACAAGGTGTTGTGATCCGGACGTTGCAGTTTGGGCATCAATCTGCTGGCTACTACACGGATCGGGATCGTGCGGCGTATTGGGATGGTCGGAATGCGCTTGGCGAACAGGTTGCGAGCGGTTTGTATTTCTATCAGCTCGAAACCGATGAGATGTCGTCGATGCGGAAGATGGTTATTTTGAAATAGCGGATTGTCTGAATTTATAGGATTTTCAGGATTGAAGAACGGGCAGTGCGGTTTGAAACCGCACCTACCAGTCTTGGAGAAGAGGCGTGGTGTGAAAGCCGCGCCTTTTCCGTATTGTCTGAATTCAGCGGTCAGCCGTCAGAAAGAGTCGCGATCGGGAGATCGCTCCTACAGAAGAGCGGTCAGCGATCAGCAGTCAGCAACCCCCTACCCCCCTTATCAGGGGAATAAGAAGGACGCTTTAGCAGACTAAAATGGAATTCACGTTAACCACACGAAAAATTATGTTCGGTATGCTGCTGGTGCTTGTGCTTGCGTTCAGCACACAAGGGATTGCAGATGCGCAGGACGCAGGCAGTCTTACGGTTCGGGTGGATCCTTTCGATGGCGCGCCCGGTTCAACAGCCACCGTCACCTTTACTGCGATCGGTGCAGACAATCAGCCAGCATTTGTAACGGTGAACCTGAGTGCTACAGGGGGGACGCTCTCCCGTTCAAGTGAGTTGACCGGATTCACAGTCACCCTGACACGGGGGAACACGCCGGGGAATGAGAATTATGTCACCGCGAGTGTACCCGGCTATCCGTCAGCGCGCGCTCGGTTTTTAATCAACGGGATGCCCACGGTTGCGGCGGCAGCAGACTTCGCTATTTACAGCGGGAACAACCAGCGCGGTTCGTTGAACGTGCCGCTGGCAGAACCCGTTCAGCGTTGCAGTGGTGGATGCCCATGGCGATCCCATTGAAGATGTCCGAGTCCGGCTCCGAGCGAGGCAAGGCAGGGGCACGTTTTCGCCTCGCATCGCACGCACGGATGCGAGGGGTCGCGCTGAAGCGACCTTTACACCGACCTCTGCTGGAAGAATCAGCGTGGAGGCGACTGTCGGGGGTGTCGATAAGACCGTGGCGTTCACCGTCTCCGTTGAAGAGGCACCGGAAGCCGCGGATCCGGTAATCTCCAGTCACCCGCATAGAGCCGAAAAACTTGTCGCGGCGGCGAACCGTCCGCCGATGTTATGGGTGGACAGTGGCGCGATTTACGCACTTGTCGGTGCAGATGTTCAAAGATTCGCACCGAGTGTTGATAACGCCATGAACATCGCCGTAGATGCGAGCAGTGGGAAAGTCTACTGGACGGAAAAGACGGGTGGGAGTCGTGGCACGATCAACAGTGCGAACCTTGACGGCACGAGCGTTACGGAACTTACTCGATCTTGAGTGTGCCGATGGGGATCGCCGTTGACGCGACAGGAAGCAAACCCTACTGGACGAACGCCCGGGGTAGAATCCAGCGTGCGAACCTCGACGGTTCGGGTATCCAAAACGTGGTGCAGGATCTGTCCGGTCTCAACAGATATCGTTGTCTCCAACGGCTTTATCTACTGGACGGAGGGTGGCAATAGCGTCCGGCGTGTGAACATCAGCGGTCAGAAGATCGTTCAGGATATCGCGGCGAACTTGGGAAGTGTCGGGGGTCTCGCCGTCGGTGGCGGTAAAGTTACTGGACGGAAGACGGGTACGAGGGGTGGCACGATCAACAGTGCGAACGCTGACGGCACAGGTGCGACCGAACTCGCTTCGATCTTGGCGGCCCGATGGGGATCGCCGTTGACACTGTGGGGAGCAAACTCTACTGGACGAACGCCCGGGGTAGAGTCCAGCGTGCGAACCTCACGGGTCAGGTATCCAGAACGTCGTTGAGGGGTTAGGGGGTCCGGGTGAGATTGTCATTAGTAACAGCCTCTCGGAAACCCTTGCGGGAACCCCACTCACGCCACCGTCTCTTACGCTCCGTACGATGTCAACAAAGATGGCGCGGTGGATAACACGGACGCGGGTTTAGTCATAGACGCACTCGGGACGCGCAACGCCAGATACGATGTTAACGGTGACGGCACGGTCAACTTCCTTGACGTGGTGCTCGTTTTCGACAACAGGGATGACAATGTGGCGGGTGCGCCGACAATTGTTGGCATGAAGCTGAGTGCGGCGCAGATAGATTTATTCGAAGAACAGATCGATCTGTTGATTGCGACGAACGACCGGTCACCGGCCGCGATGCGGACGCTGGTATACCTGCAGCAACTTCTCGTGACGGAGACCCGTCCGGAGAAAACGCAGTTGTTTGCGAACTATCCGAACCCGTTCAACCCAGAAACGTGGATTCCCTACGAGTTGGCGACGGATACGCATGTGCGAATCACGATATACAACACACAAGGTGTTGTGATCCGGACGTTGCAGTTTGGGCATCAATCTGCTGGCTACTACACGGGTCGGGATCGTGCGGCGTATTGGGATGGTCGGAATGCGCTTGGCGAACAGGTTGCGAGTGGTTTGTATTTCTATCAGCTCGAAACCGATGAGATGTCGTCGATGCGGAAGATGGTATTTGAAGTATCGGTTAGATGTTAGCAGTCAGTGGCGAAGGTCTGATTACAAAGACTCCAGCAAAGTTCGTCTGAAAACATGAACGAAGGCGCGGATGTGTTAAAAGCGCGCCTTTGTTCGTTGTGTCTGAACTGGGATCTGTTGATTGGGACTGGGAGTTGTCTGATCGCACGCGTCGCAGTTTGTCGAGTACGCCGCAAATCGCGGAGTGTCGCGGATTACACAGATTGCGCCGACGGATTTTAAGGATTGGATGTGTTACCGCGGTTTGGTCAGTGAGAACAGTATGGGTATTACGGGTATTCTGAGGACGCAAACTGGAAAGTTTGCTGGTGGTACAAAAGCGTCGCGAGCTCGCAGGTTCGCTCCTACGATAGTCGAAAGAGTCGGAATGGGACAGATGAAAGTTTGGCACCTGAACAGTATTTGTATATGCGTGGCGTTATACGGACGATCGATCGGTCTGTAAGCTCGGTGTGAGTACGCTCCGCACTTTCTACGCACGCATCAAGGCGGCAAAGACTGTCACTTATCAGGATATTGAACTGCTCGGGGATAGAGGTCTTCGGGACTGAAACTGAGGCGCGCACGGCGTATCAGAACGAAGCTCTGAAAACGTTTGCGGCGCGTCGCCGGATCGCCGTCGCCGGGGTGCATTTCGACTGCTGTTGTCCGGCAGTGGCTGGCAACCGAGTGCGTGTCCAACCCTCCCACCCTCGATGCTTTCAAAGATGCCTTTCAGAATGATCCCGTGCGCCGTGAAAAGGAGCGCGAGTATCAACAACGCCGGTCTTCGCAAAAACGGACGACGCGAAAACGCACCGCGGCGAAACCCGTAAGAAACGCACGGAGAAGGATCGCGCTTATGAGCGGGAATATGCTCGAAAGCGGCGGGAAAATGACCCTGCATATAAGGAGAAACAGAAAGAGCGTCAGAAGGCGTGGAGAACGAAGAACCCGATTATGATAGAATCGGTATGCGACTGACCCGGATACGCGAAAGTCGGAGGCGGCGCGTCGGGAACGGTATGCGAATGATCCTGAGTATCGGGCGCTCGAGAAACAACGTCGCGGGAATTTGCACAGGATAATCCGGACTATAAGGAGAAGCGGAGGTTGTATATGCGGGAGTATCGTAGGCGGAAGAAGGCGGAGGGGGAAGAGGAATAGCAGTCAGCAGTCGGTGGTCGGTGATTGTCTGAATCGCGGATTACACGGATTGCGCGGATTACGCGGATTATAGGATTCGTGAAGGATGCCCGGTGCGGTTAGGAAACCGCACCTACCGGGCTTGGGGAAAATTTGTTTCAGAAGTTTTGTAATTTTTTAGATTTTTTTGTAAATATTACAGGAATATACAAAGTTATTGAAGGTTTTACGATGCTGGGGATTTATGTCATTTTGTCCAGCACGGCGGTTAGGTTGTCGATGGTTTTGGCGAGATTGGCGTTGGTGTCGATAAGCGTTTTGTGGTTTCTGAGTGCGGTTTTGAGCTGGTCGTTGAGGTTTTGCTCGCGGGTCTGGGTCTCTTCCAATGCCTTGCGGAGCCTCTGGTTCTCTTGCCGGAGTGCGATTCTCACGAAGTCGACGGATTTGTCTCCGGAGTATTCGAGGTAGCCGTCGGGGATGTAGATGTTGCCGTAGCGGCGCGAGAGTTCGCTGTGGGCGATGACCTGATGCTTCCGCTTTCTGTCTGGGTTCTCTATGGCGGTGAGGTTCTTGGATTGGATCTCTTTGTAGAGGGTTTCTTGCGAGATGCCGAGTAGGTCGGCGGCTTGTGCGACGGAGAGATAGATTTCTGGGTTCATGGTTTTTAGTCCTATAGTGTGTTAGTTGTCGTAAGTCGATCGGATCCCTGGATCAGAAAGAGTCGGGAATCGGAGTTCCCTCCTACAGAAGATGGGTAATTGCAATTTTATTTGACTTTTGTGCGAAAAAATTGGATAATTAAAGTAGCCTCATGGAGTGAGGTTAAACCTACCCCGTCCTAAGGACGACGCTAATCTCCTTCATTTAATCAAACTAAATGGATGGAAGGGGAGGATTAGGGACCTTCCCTTCTGTCTTCTAACCTTTGAGTAGTTGTCAGTGGTCAGACGGTCTTTCTAACGTCGGTAACTTTCATTATGTACACGTTTTGTCATCAGAAGTCCCGCCTGATAACTGATACTTTAACTACAAATACTTTTCCTTTTACATTTTACACTTTTTTTGTGAATTTCGCACTTTTTTTGATGAGTTTTGCGTTTTTTCGCAAGAAAACGCAATTTTTGTAATTTTAAGTTGACAAGGAGCGTTTAATAGGGTAGAATTAACTGCGTAAAGGGTTGAAACGTTAGATTCTTACACATTTACGTGAGGAATTCAAGATGCGCCGCTCGAACACGAAAACTATTTTGACTGCATGTGAGATGTCCTTCGCTGGGAACACCGACACGGAGATAGCAGTCCGATTTAGGGGCGTCTGTCTCAGCGGTATCTCGGTGGCGGAAAAATGAGGTTGGCAAGAGTTTGAACAGGAACTCATCTCAGCGCACAAAGCGTCATTATTAGAAGCGCATCGATTGGCAACCCTTGAAGAAAGCACACCGTAGTGTGCAAAAGGTTAGGTTCAAATGAGGAATGGGTTTGTAATCCCTGGATCCGTTCTTATTTTGTACATATAGCGGAGGTAAGATGAAAGAGGTTATTTTTCATTTTTTCCCCTCCGTGAGGTTTTTAGGTTTAAGTTTGAAAATTTTATTCCATAAGAACAAGGAGATAAAACGAATGTTGTCGAAGAAATGGCATTTCGTTGATGAGTCTTTAATCACATTACTTGCTTTTGCTTTCGTGGTATCTTCCGCGATGGCTGGTGATTTCGTTTTGTGAGAATTATAGTCCGACACCAGGTGACTTATAGACACCAACACTGATGGTAGATCAGCCAAGTGGCGGCGCTTGATGGGTCGTCTGACGATTGATATCCGGTCAGGGCGCTGCCTGTCCGCTCGGTGGATTAACGACGGTGTCGCTCTGGGCAGTGGCTTTCATATTACTCATCTTTCTTTTCTCCCCTTACCGTAGAAGCTTACGATGAAAATGGTTTCTCAATTACCAGAGCGCGGGTCTTTCCCGCTGGCTTTACGAGTAACGCGAGCTTCTAGAAACGGGAGGCCACTACTATTTTGCTGGAAGCACAGCGAACTGCGCAGTTAATGGTTGTGCTTACACAACACCCGGCTGGTACTACTGAGAATCAGCAGTGTCCTTTTGACGATAGCTGCCTTGGGAGACGGCCTGATAATCGTGTCTGTGACGGTGACGATATGATCAAAGAGGGCGGTAAACACAACCTTACGTTAAAGCGGTGGGTCCAAGTGGTGCCCCGCAGGTGGTTTCTATCCAGCGGTTGCGTCCGGGTAGCCAAACGGTTGTCAGTGCGGTTCCAAAGGCGATAATTTCGAAAGCGGAACCCTTTAACGTTCGGATCGTGCTTACCGAGGCGTTGACCGGTGATTTAGCCATACCTGCGGATCGTCTTAATTACGAATGGGGACCCCCATTAGCATAGTCATAGGTACGCCGTTCCAAGGCTCAGCAATAGATGCAATGAGGATGACTTACAGAAACCGCATCCGAGTGAGGGGCAGTACTTGCAATACCTTAACCCCGGGTGTGCCCCGTGGGTGTGGCTGATAGCTGGCACCATCCCTGGGCCGACAATGGCCACTGATGATATGTATCATGAGTATCGTGTGACGATTACAACACATACACTAAACCTACATACAAGTCCGCTGAGTTTGATTTTTGAAAATCAGTTGTCGAAGTGCGTTCCGTATGTGCTTGTGAGGCCACTGCTTCTTTATATCCCCATTGATGTATGTGCCAGCGAATGGACTTGAGGAACTGAGGCTAGAGGGAGAGGCACGGCACGTGTGAATCTCCGGGCCGGGATATAAGGTCACTGCACTGATACCAAAGACTGTATTTTCCAGCGAATGCTCCTTGATTAATCGCTAAGGACAAGGCGGGTCCGCGATTGACACTTCCGTGTCAAACGCTGACCGAACGAATGACACACCGATGGCGCCCTTCCGTGACACCGCTCAATTTTACATCGTTTACGAACTGACGCACATGCCCGAATTGTCCTACCGCATTCCTCAATGGTGTCGTGGTTGTACTTTGAGGGAGGTCAACACGCGCCGGACTGGTTCAAATCAGTGAGGTGATGTGGGGTGAAGATGCGAGTTTGATCCATCTTCAAACAGCCAATATATTGAGTTGTTATAACCCGGTGCCGGCCGTATACGACCATGCGACGATAAGGATGAGACCCCGGACCTCAGATGAAGCGCTGCACTGTTGATTTGCTCTATGCGCCACGAGTCAAGTTTTTTCGTTGTTTTTCTGTCCGGCAGTGACTGCTGCTATGCGGCAAAACCGCTCCTATTGCATTACCGGCAGGGATTACGGACTGCGTGATTGCACGCTGGATGCTACTGTCTGCGTAATACGGGCGCCTGCAAGCAGGTCAAGCGGTCATGTTCGTTCGGGTAGTCCTGAGAGTGGACGCACAGCGGGACGTGCGTGCTGTGGCTAATGAGCTCATTCCGACTGTTGCAACGGGCTGTCGCTCTCGTCTAAGTATCGTGATGATGTTGCTTCGATAGCTGTCGGGCAGTTTACCAGACAGATTGCTGATAGCAGACGGTCCAATGGCGCGGAGCTGGGATTATGACATCTGCGGGTCCCAAAAGTGCCAACTTTGATCCGACTGCGATGGTAGTCCGACACGGTACGCCGGGTGCGGCGACGGATGCTACCACAACGCCTGCAGACACCGCGGCTGAGATAAGCGAAATGCGAGGATGGCTGCCTGCTTATAAGCTCGCGGCTGCATGCGAAGAAAACCGAAAGCACGGCACGATGCCAGAGGACGGTCAAATCTACATCAGCGAAATTATGTTCGCGGGTGGTGGCATATTGCCACAGTGGATTGAGATCTCCAA